GTAATTATTTAAGGTAAAAATTATTTTATTTGCGTTCTAGCATCCTTTAAAATAATATATAACCTTTTTTATTTTTTTTTTATTTTTTATTTTTGTGGTTTTATGATGAATAAGTCGGTCTAAAATAACTTTGAAAAAACTAAGTTTTTGCTAATATTAGAAGCGGATATTCAGCTTATATTTTAAATTTAAGTTGAAACTTGCTATCTACCCATCCTCTTCTTCCTTTCAGTCCGTCTTAATATTATTTCAAAAATTATTTCAGTAACTTATTTACAAAAACAGAATAATAATTTAATTGTATAAAACAGTATTTGTATAAAATTAGCCTTATCATAATCTGAAAACAATTTGAGCTTTTTTGTACAAGCTCAAATTTTTTCAGTAACTGAAAACAATTTGAGCTTGTACAACAAAATTAAAATTGTAGTAGATAAATTTAAATCTTTGAAAAAACAATAAAAGAAGAGATGTATATAAGCTGATGCTCTTTATAACGCCTATTTCGGAAACTAATTGTGAACTATGCATATCAAGTGAGAAAAATAAAACTTTTTTAACCCTTATAAATAATATAATAATGGATAAAGCCTTTATCTGATTGTCAAAATAAGTTCAAATCTGGTAAAGTTTGTATTAGTAATATGAAAAAAACAATTACATCTAACGACCCAGAAAGGGTCTTGGAAGTACTTTATCTTTTGGACTATGTGAAATTGGTGGCAGTGATGCAGATTGTATTATTAATGCATTAACAAAAACATTAGATGATATATGTGACGTTTTAGAAATTAGACTTTGCAGTATTGGATCTTTTAATTTGTACAAAGCCTAATGCCAAAATACAAGCTATACAAACTTATACTATGTGGTATAAAAACAAAACACTAGACTGGTTGGATAAAAAGACTTTAGGTGAACGTGATTCAATGCTAAAAAATGCTTCAACAAACTTTAGTAAAATGAAAGATAAATACAAACAACCCCATTTAGAATTAAAGTTTGAAATGAGTGAAAAATTGTCTGAAAAGCATAAAGCTAAAAAAGCAGCTGAAGATAAAGCCTTCCTCAAAAGAGCTAAATCGGTTAATGAGTTGTTAAATTTGGAGACGAAGGTGTGGTTGACCTCAAAAGAAGCAGATTATGAATATGTTTTGTTAGTTGACTCATTTAAAACCAAAAAAGTATTAAGAGCACTGTTGGATTTTTATAGGTATGTAATGGAAGTAAAATGTGAACCTAAATATTTTTACAAAACTAACATACTTGGTAGTAAGCGAATAGACTTAACAAACTGTGAGTTGTTCAGGAATTTACAATCAGTTATTAGAACAAGGACTTTTCCAGAGCCCATCGAGAGAAGAATTATTCTTATTGAAAGAAAAGAACGAGATATTTTGATTGCAAAACAGAAAGAAGAGTTAAGTGAAAAATTAAAGAGTGCAAGACTGTCTCAATTAGCAAATTAACAAAAAATAAACATCTTGCCTATTATTCTAAATGATGTTAATTATCTTGTTGGGAAATTTATTCAACATAAAATAGTGAAAATCAACATTAAAAAATACTTTTGGTGTACAGGTGAAGTTCTTCGAGTAAACAAGTTAACTCCTAACTTAAAAAAAAACTTTGTTTGATGTGGTCTATAAGACTAAAGAAAATCAAGTATGGACTTTTCCATTGCTTGTTGACCTTGAAAAAGAAAAGGTTATAGTTCTGTGAAAAGCCTATTTTACAATTTATTTGAAATAAATACTAGTTATATATATTACTAGTAATACTATATTATAAATATATTAAATATATTATAAATTATATAATATTATTATAAATTAGTCGTATATATTAATCCAAAATATTTATATCTATATTGTTTATAGTTATTATAAAATATTGTATATAGTTATTATATATATTATTTATTATATATATTATTTGTATTATTATAGTAGAAATATATAAATTGTATGATATTATAATATACTCGTATATATTAACCCATAATATTTATAATATCTATATTATTTATAGTTATTATAAAGTATCGTATATAATTATTATATATATTATTTGTATTATTATAGTAGAAATGTATTATAAATTATATAATATTATTATAAATAACTAGTATATATTAATCCATAATATTTATAATATCTTTATTGTTTATAGTTATTATAATGTATCATATATAGTTATTATATATATTATTAGTGATATCATATAGAAATATATTGTAAATTACATAATATTATTATAAATTATTAGTGTATAATAATCTATAATATTTATATTTATATCATTTATAGTTATTATAACGTATCATATATAGTTATTATATATATTATTAGTAATATTATGTTAGAAATATATTAAATATGTTGTAAATTATAGTATATATATATTATAATATATTATTATTATAAATTAGTCTTATATATTATTCTATAATATTTATAATATATATATATATACATACATACATACATACATACATACA